TGTACTTGTGCACATACACACGAGCCGCCACTGATTGTATTGTTTATTGTACCAACCTGCTACCTATTCGTAAATTTATGTCCTTCGTAATACAATTGTCATGGATTGTTTTATCGAAGTAATTTACATAAATTTCGTTCTGCATGGTATCCGTGGCGCACTCGTGTGGTCGCATCTTTCACAACTTACAGAAATCATTTAAATTCTCGTAGATACAACATATTATTATAATGTGTCTTGTTATTTTTGTTGGTTTGGATTTTAGTCCTACAAAAATCGAAACGAATTTACATTATTTATGAATATAGTCATATTGTCATATAAATTGTGAAACGAAATTTCAGGTGAATCAGTACTGTAAATAAAGCTGTTAGTTATATCTGTATTTAATGTTTTCGTTAACATATCTTATGATAAATTACTACATACATACACACAACGAATTTGTTCATGAAGCGGCTGCTTCGTAGGATAACTATTTACGTATCCACTGATGGGAAGGATATAATGTATTATTAATTATTTCAGTAGCTTTTATTTTTATTTTTATATAAATCATTTTATTATTTTGGCCGTGATTATGTATATGGTTACTGGTGGCTCGCTCTTGTGTTTAGTTTTCTCGTTAGTCAAATCACGTAAATACATTATATTCATAAATCTAACACTTTATTAGTACCTAGGTATATCTTTCAACATACAAGTTAACAATAATTAATAATAATAATTGTTTTAATATAATTTGCATACGCTGTTTAAAATAATATCAGTGTAAACTGTAAATTGTGACCGACTGCACGAACAAGCCGCCGGCTGGACACCAATACCTATCATTCGGTTCGATATCGTAATATTTTGGCAATGGGTGTAATGTATAATCATTGATTTTGTAATATTATAGACTTATGAAATACTTTTTTATAAAATAAGCCGCGGGGGCTACGACCTCACACTCCCTTTCTTGAAATAATATTACCCTCAATACGCATTAACTAATAGTACTTACTAAATTACCAAATAGAAAGAAAACTACTATATACGCACTACTAACTACATAATATGCATAATATCATTATACACTTTAAAAAACATTAATTTTTAATACAAAAAATATTTTATTATTTTAGTACAAGTAACCTATTTTACAACCAAATACATCTATAACGTTCTCAATGTTGATATTGATATCTTTTTTAATGAATAGTATTGAAGAATTATTAAATTTTTCTTCCAGCATACTCGTATGTAGCCATGTTTTGACTTTGCCCATAGCAGAAAAGCTTCATCCACATGTAGCCAAGCTGATTGATATTGATATGGTTATTTGTAGTAGTTTGTATGAGTTGTGAAACACACTTTAAGAAATATTTTATTTTATTGTTTCAAAAATTAGGAAAAAAAATTATTTTGTAGAGGTCCAAGATTGAAGGAATTGTTGTAAAATAAGTACCGATTTTATACTTTGACAAATAATCAATAATTTTGGGGTAGGAAGATTTCGATTCTTGTGGGGGCTAAGTCCAATCCAAATCTCTGACTATTTCAGTCACCGGGGGTTATAACTGTCTCCAAATATTTAAAGTCTTTCTTTGCTTGATGTGTAAAGATGGATAGGAATAATGTATGATTGATTATTATCTGAAAACTAAAAATTTATTAAAAACTATAATCCAAATTCAAATATTTACTACCTTTTTTTAATAGCATTTCCAAATAATCACTAATTTTATTTGGGTAAACAATAAAATTAACTTTTTCAGTTTTTACAGACATAATAGTGGTGTTTTATGTTATGAATGTAAACAGTTCAAAAATTATAATAGACTGTTTTGGAAACTTATAGGTACTTAACTAGAACCATTTACAGCACTTGAAAATGTTTTTCAGTGATTGCTATATTTACCTATAATAAAAGGAGGGGGTCATCATTTCTTATTATTATTTTTAAAATCTCTTAATAGATTCAACATTTTTTTAAGCTTATTTTCCTTAACCTTGTTATAAAAATGAAATTTAATTGTAATTATACTGTATACTGAAAAACTATAAGAAACTTAAACATTAGATACAAAGAACACATCTTTAAAATTAATTTAAGGTAAGTTAATCTTTAAATAAAATTAAAAAT